AGAGGGCACCGTGCGGGCGCACAGGGACACAGCCAACCCGGGGATGGGAAGGCGCCTTCGTCCTGAATAACACACTGGAGAAGGAGGCTGGGAGGACGGTGTTCCCGTGAAAGCGGCTCCTGGAAACACGGTTCTGAAAAGCCTGCGTCTGCACAGGGCCCACACCCCCCGGAGGCGTCAGCGACAGGGACAGAAGGCGAGAAGACACGCACCCCGCCTCCCCTCTGGCGCAGAGTGCCCCGGGCTCAGGTCCCCCAGGCTCAGGTCCCCTGAGCAGTCGCCCGTGCCCTGCTGTGAAGGGTTGACGTCGCTGGGGACAGAGAAGGAAGGGAAGCATGAGGACAAGGTGAGAAGGAGGTGAGACCTCTTTTCTCACAGTGGCCTGGTGAGTCACCTTCTGGCTGTGAAGGGTCTTCCCTCAAGGAAGAACTGGGCAGTGTCGCTGAGGCAAAGAGGACCTGCCCCAGACCAGCCGAGGGCGATGAGGCCCGGGCATGCCAGTCAGGGGCACAGCAGTCCGCAGCAAGGCGCCGGGATTCTGACCAGCAGGCTTCCTGTCCAACATCCTCTCCTACCTCCCCAGTGGGAACAGGCCCTGTTTCAGACCCTTGGGCCGAAGCCCTCACACCTCCATGATCTTGATAGTGAAGAGTGTCCCTGGCTTCAGACTTCTGAATTCCCATCAGACCTTGAGGAGCTCATTCCGGTATCAGTTGTTCATCATCTGTCACTGCCACCCAACCCGCAAAGGGCTGCGACTGGGCTGTCTGCTCCCCTGCGGGCAACATGCCTTGCCCTGTCCGGTCTTCTCTGATTAGAGCTGACCCTTGAACATCACGGGGGCTAGGGGCCCTGGTCCCTGTGCAGTCGAAAACCTGTACACAACTGTGACTCCCCCAAACTCAGTGGTCCCTTGCTATCTGTGGGGAGTTGGTTCCAGGACCCCTGTGGAAACTACAGTCTGAGCTGCTCAAGTCACCAGTATAAAGATGGTGCAGGTCAGCACATGCCATCGACCCTCCACACCGCTGACCCCCACCTCGGCGAAAACAGTACAATTTTTATTTTTATTTTTTTTGTTATTCCTCACCCAAGGATATTTTTCCACAGACTTTTAGAGAGTGGAAGGGAGGGAGAGAGAAACATCAATGTGAAAGAGACACATCAATTGGTTGCCTCCTGCACAACCTCGACTGGGGCCAGGGATTGAACTTGCAACCCAGGTATGTGCCCTTGACCGGAATCAAACCCAAGACCCCTTGGTCATTGGGCTGCTGCTCTAACCACTGAGCAGAACCAGCCAGGGCTGGGTTTTTATTTATTTATTTATTTATTTATTTTTTAATCCTCACCCGAGGACATTTTTCCATTTTTTTGTTCAGATAGAGTGGGAGGGAAAGCGAGAGAAAAACATCGACGTGAAAGGGACACATCGAGTGGCTGCCACCCACACAACCAACCAGGGCCGGGGACAAACTGCAACCAAGGCACATGCCCTTAGCGGGAACCGAACCAGGTGTCTCTGGACCGCAGGCTGACTCTCTAACCACTGAGCCAAACCAGCCAGGGCTGGGTTTTTATTTTTTTAAATCCACCTGTAAGTGGACCCGTGCAGTTCAAGCCTGTGTTGTTCAGGGTCAGCTGTAGTTATCTTTTCATGTGTTTCTGTTTGATGTCCCTAACCAGATGCTTCCCGGTGCCTGCCCCTGGGCACACGGTGGTAGGACAGTGTGTAAGCATATCACTAGTGAGCTCTGTGTGCTCTGTCCTGCGTCCTTGCCATGGATCGGAGAGTCCCACTCCTTTAAATGGACATGCATTCATATTCATAAAGAGATACACACAAAATGGCCCACAGGTAGTTAACTATCTCAGGAGTGCAGGATTCCAAGTGACTTTTTCCCTTTTCCATATTTATATGTACTGTTTGGTTCTCCAAGGAGTCTGCAGGGCTGTTGTATACGGCAGAAACATAAACAACGAAGTAAATTTCATCATGGGAAAAAAAGTAAAACAAAACAAAATAAAAAGAGAAGAAAAAAGAAGGGAAAAGGGGAAGAGTCATCAAACGTTTCTTAACAGAAGGGTGGCGTGCCCATTCCTGTTTTAGAAAGATCACTCTGGTCATGATGCAGGAGATGAAGACAGGGAAATAGAACATATTACCTGGATGAAGGATAATAATAAAAACCACGAATAGTCGTAAGGCCCAAAGAAGTAACACAGGAAGTTTAAAATCCAGCTATCCTTATAGCAGCACTATTCGCCATAGCCAAATGCCTGTCGACTGACAAGTGGTTAAACAAATTGTGGTATATCCATACAACGGAACATTATTCCACCATAAGAAAGGGATGCAGTGCTGGCACACCGCAACATGAATAACCTTGTTCCAAGTGAAAGAAGCCAGACACTAATGGTCATGTATTGGATGATTCCATTTATATGAAATACCTAAATTGGGCAAATCCATAGTCAGAAAGCTGACTAGTAGCTGACAGGAACTGGGGTGGGGGCAGGAGATGGAGAACAGTTACTTAATGGGGACAGGGTTTCCTTTTAGGGGGATGAGAATGTTTTGGAATTTGAGAGAGGGGATGACACAACAGTGGGAATGTACTCAACGCCACTGAATCGGACACTTCCAAATAGTTACATTTATGTTATAAAAGTTGACCTCAATTTAAAAAACCCAGTTAATTTTTTAACCCAAAGTCTTGAGAAAAATGGAAGGGCAGGTGAGGAGTAAAGGGAAAAGAAAGAAAACCCAGCAAATGAGGGGAGCTGAGCACTCGCAGCCGATGTGGCCTGAGAACAAGGGAGAGCGGGTCTGTGCCAGCCAAGGGTGGACCAAGCCCGGCCTCCCATGATGGAGCCTTCCAAGACGGGACCGCGGACTCCGGTGCCATGCCTGTTCACCCTTCACCTACAACAAACACCTCCTGTTTTACTCAGATCAGAGACAACAGGGCCATCAGCCGTTTGCTCGGGGAAGCTCCAACTGAGAAACTAAGTAGAAATAGCAAGAAAGGTTGAAGCCAGGTATTCAGATCCTTCATCACCGGATGCAGGCCCTGCAGGGAGGCCTCCCCAGCGCCAGCCACACACACACACACACACACACACACACACACACACACACGTGTGCGCGCGCGGCAGTGGCTGCTCCCTGGAGACTGGGAGCCGCCCCCGGGCAGGGCCCATGCCTGGCTCACGTGTCCTGGCCGGAATCACAGCCCCTGGCACAGAACAGGGACTGTAAACATATGTGAAGACATGAATGCCCTCTATTTTATCAGCTGGTCTATATTTTTGATAGCTGAAACACAGAGACAGTACAAAGTTCAAACGGCTCCAAGGGATACCTAGTGATGAATTCCCCTTCCCCCACCCTTCCACTCCAGCACCTTCCAGGCAACCTCAGGCAGCGTTTTAAATGTGACTTGTGCAGGGAGACTGTGAACCGCAAAGGACAGCCGGTGACTTGGGCGCCAGGTCATCACCACAAGATGGAAGCTAAATGTGACATCAAGATGAAAGTCATCTGGGTGAAAACAAGGTCCCAGCATTCCATGCCAGGAGGACACACATGCCAGGGAGCTGCCGGCTGGCAGAGGAATGCTGCTAAGGTGGCAGCCGTCCCCCTGGAGTCATTCATGGCATGACGAGAAGCCCGTGGGCAGGGGTCATCCAGCCTGTGGCCGAGGCAGCCACCTCAAGCTGCTCACACCTGTTCCAGACCTAGGCCAATTTCAAGCTGGGGAGAGGCTACGGAGCTACTGGATGGGATGAGAGAGGACATGCACACCGCACAGCCTTGGACCCAGACAGGTGTTCCGTGGTTCGTCTGGAGGGAACAAGTTCCCCTTTAAAGAACTCCAGCAGGGGCTGGTGGCGCTGTCCCCGCAGATGGGCTCCGCAGCGGACATGGGAGATCTGGCCAAGAGGAGAGGGTCCCAGGAAATCAGAGCACCCGGAGCGAGGACGAATCTAGGCCAATCGCAAGCCTGGACCAAGTCCCAAGGGCTCTGCCGGGTGTGACAGGAACATCAGGGCATATTGCCTTGTCTAGCTGGGTTGTGAGGGGCTTTTTTAGAAGAATGAGTAACCATTGCCCTGTATAGTCACCAAACCAAAGACTAAAAAAGATCCAAGCCACGCAGGCTCACCTGCTCCCCAAGGCCCCTGCCTAATGCGGCGCTATTCCGGTGAGTCGGCGTGGCGTTTATCTACTTTCAGCCCCTCTGTTACTGTATTTCATTCCCTGACCTCCTGCCCAGAGAATGTTGCAATGTGTATACATTTAGAAAAAGAAAGATCAATAATATGGAAAAGTTCATTTTAACAAAATGCGTTTCCTTTATTCCTTCCTCCCTTCCTTTGTTCTCCACTAAACAGAAGAGAAAGTGATCCTGTTACTTACTCAGCCTCGACCATCGTGGAACCTGGTATCTGGGCAGCAGCTCAGTTATGCAAAACCACAGCCTAAGAGCAAGCAGCCAAGCGTCCGTCCTACGTGTTCCTTAGAACCGGAGGGAAGGAGACCACAGCACGAGCTCTGTGTCAACTGGGATCCCCCCAAACGAGCGAGGGCCCGAGTGAAGGCCCCGCACCTGCAGCTGCCATGTCGGCAGGAGTTACACGGCGATGCTTTATGAAATACAACCTGTTTTATAAGGAAATTAATGTCGCAGATGGGAGTTTTGGGATGTGGTGGAAATTACACTGAAAGAGAAACGGATAGAGAAGTGCTTGCTTCCCTCACACAGACTCACAGCCTGTGGGTGTTTGGACCACGGCAGGAAGTGCCCACCAGTGAATTCCAGCACCTAAGCATGTAGCCCCATTTCCACTTCACGGAGGAGGAAACCAACGCTAAACCCAAGGTGACGCGCCTGCCCGTGGCAGAGGGCGTCAGGACTAGGTCCCACCGCTGTTCCGGTGTTTATCCCGCCAGCACCACCCACCGCCTGGAAGCCATCCAGGCTCGAGGGCTGTACCTCCGAGAGCATCTCAAACTGGCCTCTTCTCCCGAGAGCGATGGTCAGCAGGTCATAGACCACCGAGGCGCTCTGCAGACTGATGAGGCGGTCGCTCCTGTGCTCGGGTATCCTGCTCAGCACAGCGTCCCGGTTGGCCTGCAGATGGCACGGAGAGAAGCCGATGGTGAGCCAGCCATGCACACAGCCATCACTTCCTGCAGAGGGCCTCTCAGCCCTCCTGCCCCTAACAGTCTGCCAAGGGTCTGGAGACAAGGGTGGGAATGAGGAAGGGCCTGTCACCTCTGCTTGTTTGTTCAGAATCCCCAGAGCACCACAGCCCGTGGTACACGGTGTTCTCCAAACAGCGGAGGCCTGGAGGTGTGATCCCGCAGGACACGTGTGCTGTTGGCAGGTATGTGGAGGAAGTTTAAGAGCCAGTGGGGTGACTGCTCCTGGGCTCGTGCTCCAGGCGGCCTCACTGGAGGCAGTGTGCTGTGGCAGCCGCGCCCTCCGTCCGGGCAGCCCCGCTGCCGCTCACTCGCAGGTCCTGCTTCTGCTCTGCACCCAAGGGTGGGAGAAGCCTCCCAGCCCCGCCCGTCCCATCACCACATGGTGCCATCAAATTCCATCAGTCCTACAGAGACATGTCATACTTTTCCTCCACCACCAAAGCAACGTTCAGATCCCTATGGGACATCTCCCCTGGCAGGGACTACAGAGACTAATCCGATCTTGTCTAGGGAAGCACAAAACAGATGCATAAGAGACAGCAAGAAGCAAGCAGATGTTTGTCTTAGAGACATACCAGGGGGACTCGAGAGAACACCTCCCTGTTTCACATCTCCACTGCTTCGCGGAGAAAGACAGCAGGCACATTCGAGCTTATTAATCTCATCTATCTAGAAATCAAAGGCTCTTTATAGCAAGCTGTTTTCAATACTTTTGAAATGTAATTTCTCTCCAGACTCCTCCAGACAAAGCCCATGCAGTAGAGACTCTAACCACTAGCTCATTTCCCTTTCTCCCTGATAGAGAGTTCAGAATGAATCGAGTTAGATTTTCCTCCATCCCCCTGCCCCGCTAACTGCCAGAATTCTCCAGATCAGGCTATCACTAGGAGCCCAGAAAGGGACCCCCAGTTCCTGAGAAAGTGGTCACATGAGGCATCAGGGTCACTTGTCCAGGCAGCTGATGTTTGTCTTCCTGACAGTCAGAAAGGCTACGCACACACCTTCTCTCTCACTAATGAGATAAACGCTGTCTTTTCGTGAGTCCAAGGCATTTGCTTTTAGCCACCCATCAGAACTTACTCACGTCAAAACTCCTTGCTCCTAAATGTCAAAGACAAATAAGAATATATAAGACAGGCCACTTCCTACAAAGTGAATCATCTCTTATGGAAATAAGCCTGCTTTTGAAGATTTCATTCTAAATTTTTCTTGTTAGAGGTGGCTTTTCAGCCAACAAAAGAAGCTCGGAGGGAAACGGGGCTTGCTGGGAGTGGTCTCATTTTATTCATTTGCTATAGATGGTCCATGTTGAGACCAACGCCTGGAAGAGAACAAAACAAAACGAAATACTATTTAAGGGAACTTTTCAAGTTATGCCAAATGCATTCCTTTTTATTTTGAGAGAAAGTCTGTGGGTATCTCTTGATTAAAAAGGTGCAGTGCAGAACCTCAGGCAAATCCACAAACAATAAATGCCTAGAGTTCGGTACCGGGGTTGGTTGTGCAAATACAGTCCTGAGGACTCCTTTGTCCCGGGGGAGAAATGATGCTGCCTGAGGTGAGACAGTGGTTCAGTTCCCCGAGAATGCTTGTAGGCGGAGAGATTATGGGCAGATACGTGTCTAAGATAAAGTCAGAACAAAGAATACAATTTTCTCAAACACCAAAAAAAACATAGCAATTCTCATTTTGGTTCTGAAATTGAGCATATCCTTTTTCTGTCTAAGAAAAATCAAGGAGTCAAGAAACATACAAAAAGGGCTTCCAGAGGCAACGTAATTTAGGACTCTAGCTACATAATAAGGTGATACCTTACAGACAGAACTGATCATTTGGGTTGGAAACGTCATCCTTCACATTTATTGATGTCATTGGATTTCACCAGGCCCTGACGAGACTTTCCGGAAAGTAGGTACCAGAGCCGAACCTGCCTGTCTCAGAGGGATGTCCACTTTGAGCCCTTCATAGTCCCTTGGCTCCATGTAAGGAGCAGGAGAAATGGAGCCGTCATGCCCAAGACACAGCATTTTAGAGCTGGGCCACATTTTCCAAATTCCAAACTGGAGCACATGGCCTGACCATGGAGCTCAATGTTTTCAATCGGAATCGCCCAGGATCTCTGAAACGTGGCCACCACGCTTCCAGTGTCTACAATGTAACCAACCAGGTTTGCCCGAAGGAAACTGAACTGCTAAGTTGTGAGGAGTCCAGCTTCGAACGTGGGAATGCCAGCCAGGAGCCACCCCGAGCTGGCCCCTCACAGCACTGATGACAAAGCAGGGCGGCTGAACGCGCAGCCGGCCGCTCACGTGCGGGCCTGCCCGACTGCCCAGCAGGCTGGGGACTGTAAATGACACCGCGCTAAGTTCCCAGCTGACAGCCAAAGAAAGACGAGCCAGCGGGCGACCTGTCTCCCTCAGGGGAAGGGAGGCCAATGACGTCAAAGGGCTTCCAAGCAGCGAGAGGTGGTAACTCAAGCAGCCTTGCTCTTGTAAACATCTCTGGGCCATTTCACGGACAGGAAAACCCAAAGCTTTGAATTCAGGCTGGAAGGCCATCCTCCCAGACCAAGTCCAGCTCCCCTGATCCCTCCTTCCCTCAGCACGCACATTCTTCTCTGCTCCGTTCCCAAGTCTTTCTCACCCGAGAGTGTGCAGACCTCCATCTACACTGTGTGCTTGGGCAAGAAGGAAGCACTCTGGCTTTAACTGTGACTCCTTTTCCTGCTCCCTTGTTGTGGGAAATGCGGGAGGGGACAGTATGATGTACTGGGAAGACCTCCGCACCATGAATCCGTGTTCCTGCTCTGGCCTCAGGCTCCTCAGGTGTAAAATGGGTGGACAGACATGAGGACCTCTAGGTCCTTTCAAGTTCCAGGCATTTCCCATCCCGCTCAGGTGCTCAGCACACACAGTGACTTGCCAAGGTATTAACCACTACGACACATATTACTCAAAGTCTCAAGCCAGGGCCATTACACCTAGTGATATGCAAAGTAAAAACCAATAAATGAAGAATAAATTTCCAGACCTAATATTTGATATCCTGGCCAAACATGAAGAGAACACCTCAAAGGAATCTAATGGTCTGGGAAGAACGCCCTGCCAACGGCAGAGCCAGGTAACAGGAATGAAGTCTCCCGGCAGGGACCGTGCACCGTCCGGGTGCGGTGGGAGCTGGGAGAGGGGACCCGTGCAAGAGGCTGCGGCGATTTCATCTGGCTCCTGTTATAAAAACCAGAGGCTCACACACACAAGTGATTTCTCCCCAACTCTCCCTCCCACCAAGGCAAACTGAGAAGGCTCGTAAAGGGTGCCCTTTGGGGCTTCTTTCCCTTTGTAAGGTTCCTTTGGTGGTCATGTTAGCTGTAGTTTACCTATGCGGTATACTGCGTTAGGGTTCCATCAACACTCGGTGGATAAAAGAATAGACTCAGGTGCCCGCTAACTGCTAGGGGACGAGAAGCTCCATGCTCCGGCGTGACCAAGGAATGTGCTACCCAGCCCAGGAAGTAAGATACACCCCTCCTTTTAAACCTCTGCTGTTTTTCCCACCCAGGTATCCCTTCTGTTTTTCTCCCAAGAAAAAGAGTCACTACCCTGATGGAGCAGCCATATCAAAAAAGGGGCTATACCCTTTCACATCGATGTCTCTCTCTCTCTCTTCCTCTCTCTCCTTCCCACTCTAAAGAAAAGAAAAGAAAAGGGACCATAGGAACAGGGGGAAGAGAAATGTAACAGCATATTCTACTTACCATCGATTCACTAATCAGCAATAACAACAGGGCTTCTTCAGTATTTTCTTGAGGACAAAAAATGCTGTACAAAGAAAACCAGCTGTGATATACGGCCATCACAAAATAACACAAAATACTTGACTATAAGCAGGAGGAAATGCTAAAAACCTCCAGATTTTTATGTAGAACCCATGAAAAGTAGCGTCTAGTCTGGACACTTGAATTAAGTTGCTTACTTCTATGGTAATCTACGGAATGTATACATTCTGACTATGCATCTGAAGCACAGGCGACGTGAAGTAAAGCTGTAAAAAACCAAGTTAAAAGCCCAAATAACATATATGTTTATGACAGAGGCAGAAACTTAGATTGCTGCAAACTAATATTATCTTAATAACACCAGCACTCTCCTGAAGCCATTATGGAGGGGTAAATTGCAGACATTTCAATGAGAAGTACTCTTCTTACCTCTTTCTTGCTAACTGGCATATCTTATGTTATTCTTTAGATGAAATAAGAGATTGGAAGCAAATTTAGAGTTTGAATAATTTCTAACATACTGTACGAATGTAGTGGGCTACCATACTCACCCACATGTTTTATTATGGGATAGGAGGATGCTGAGCTAGCTGTCTTACTACTCAATTTCATGGAATAAGGCTGAATGCTAACATCTTGAATTTTTTAAAAAAGCTTTTAAGCCCTGGCCAGTTTGGCTCAGTGGTTGGAGCATCGGCCTGTGGTCCAGAGACCCGGGTTCGGTTCCTGCTAAGGGCGCGTACCTCGGTTGCAATTTGTCCCCGGCCCTGGTTGGTCATGAGGGTGGCAGCCACTCGATGTGTCCCTTTCATGTTGATGTTTCTCTCTCTCTCTCTGTTCTTCTCTCTCCCTCCCACTCTACCTGAACAAAAAATGGAAAAATGTCCTCAGGTGAAGATAAAAAAAGAAAAGCTTTTAAGCTCAATGTTGCCCAGGGTTAGAGAACAATAAAACCAAACATAACCCAAATATCCATCCTCTGTATCTTATTTTTTGTGCTCTGAGCATTTGAAAACACAGCGTTTTTTGTTTGTTTGTTTGTTTGTTTTTTCCTGTTCTGACGCTCCAGAATCCTTTGAGGAGAATTGTGAGTGTTATCACCAATTGGGCCAAACTCAGCTCTTTTTCACAGAATGGAAGAGGAGTACAAAAAAAATGAAGCTGGTTAGTAAAAGCCTCCTGGATGTTTTGGAGAGGACTAAATGAAGACTAAATTTATCTTCCCAGGGGTAACATTACAATCATTTGATTTAAGAGATGAAATGATTTGCCCCCAAAATGGCACAAATGTTTTCCAAATTATTATAAATATTTGCTCTCTTTGAAGTGTTGGCAACTTTTATATTGTATCAAAGGACCATAAAATGCAAGACATAAAAGGTACAGTGCCTCCTACTCTTTCTACAACTCTGACGTCCCTAGAGGCAGGTGGCAGGTTCCTAGTGCTCTTGCAGAGCTAAAGCTTTAGGAAAAGGCCAGCCTTTAAAGAAATTTTTTTTTCTTTATTGCTTTTAGAGAGAGAGGGAGGGAGAGGAAGAGAGAGACAGAAACATAGATGAGAGAGAACATTGACTGGCTGCCTCCCACATGCCCCCCACTGGGGACCCAGCCCACAACCTGGGCATGTGCCCTGACCGGGAATTGAGCCAGCAACCTCTTGGTGCATGGGTCCACAACTGAGCCACACTGGCCAGGCAAAAGGCCTACCTTTAAACAGGAACAATATTCTGGAATCAGCAGTGACATCCTTAAAGGGGTACCTTGAGGTGATCTGGGATTTGAGAAGATGGAATACTTCTTTCCCCTTATATTCAGATATAGAGCCTACAGGCTTTGAGGTAAGAGTGCTCGTGTGTGTGTGTGTGTGTGTGTGTTTGTGTGTGTGTACACGCATGCACACGCACATCCAGAGACCATTTCCTGATGTCCTGTGGCTTGTGCTTACATGCGATTGGGACCTTACAAAGAAAAAAACAAAACCAGGAACATTAACCATTTTTCGTGGCCAGCCAGTCCTGCGCCGTCCAGACTAACTGAAAAGAGAGCGAGCCCATGCTAATTGTGATTTAACACCAGCCAATCAGGCCATGGATAATCCCCAAATTCCACTTGAGCCATCCAGACTGCTTAAATGCGAGGTGGTTCTTTTCACCAGAGCTGCTAACAAGTAGCGCAGTGGTTTTAATTCCACCTCCTCCACCTTTCCTGCGGAGCCAGGCAAGACGGAGACTCAGGAGCCCTGCAGAGCTCCTGGGCTGGAAGGGAGACTGGGCTGGGGAGGGAGAAAGGGTCGTTTTAAGAGACGTGCCTGAAAACGACACACTGCAGTGCCTCCTCGAATTACGAATTCTCCAGACCCACTTCTGCCCAGGCCTTTCCTCCTCCCTATTCAGGAAGTATGGAGCCGAGGGCTCAAAGTCAAAATTGTTGGGGACTTCCCTTATGTGACACTCTCCTCTTAGGGCCCAAGAGCTCAGGGGCGATGCTGGGGTGCCCCGACCTCAGCCTTGTGGAGTTGAAAAACTGGGGCCCTAGACAAAGAGGAAGTTGACTGAAGGGCAGGGTGGGGGATAAAAAGGGACAGGGAGCCCTGGCCAGTTTGGCTCAGGGGTAGAGCGCCGGCGCATGGACCAAAGAGTCCCAGGTTCGATTCCTGTCAAGGGTTCATCCCCAGCCCTGGTTGGGGTCTTGTGGGAGGCAACCAGTCGATTTCTCTGTCTCTCTCTCTCTCTCTCTCTCTCCCTCTCCCCCCCCCTCCCTCCCACTCTATCTAAAGATAAATGGAAGAATATTCTTGGGTGAGGATTAAAAAAAAAGGGAACAGGGAAAAAGTGGGGATCGGCGGGCAGTAAGGACAAGCTCCGTGAGGGGGGCTGGCGGAGGAGGCAGGGCAGGGGCTGCTGGGCTCAGAACAGGAGGGCTGTGGGCTAATCCTGGCCACGTGACTAACTCAGGGGCTGACCTTTAGGCAAGTTGCTCCTTTTCGTACTTCGGATGAATTTACCAACTCATTATCTGATTCTACAGAAGACACAGGGAACAAGGGCGAGAGCCATCATTTATAAATAGTAATCATGATCTTGCCAAGGCTCTCAGATAATAATAGCCCTTTTTAAAAATCTTCCCCAGATAGGTGAAAAATGTCATTGCATGTGGTAGAAGCAATAGTACAAAAGAAATCCATCTAACTTATCCAACTGCATTTCACCTTTCTGTCATCTTCAGCTGTTCTCCAGCGAATGACAGGTTGGATGTCCTATGGTCCACAGCACCAGCAGGTGCCAAAGCAGACTGTTTCGGGTGCAGAGGGCCTTGAGCACCTCTCACCCACAAGGAAGCTGAGCTGTAAATAATGACAACATCAACTCCCAGGCCCAGAAACGGTCTTTATCATTCTGCTCTGCCTGGCTATGGCACTCCCGGGAATTCTGGAGCAATGCGGCCTCTGAGCCACAGCCAGCCAGATGGGAGCTGGAGGATCCACGCTGACAGTGGCGGCAGCCCAGCCCCAACCCCAAGTCTGTCAGCTCCGCCAAGGCGAAGAACACGGCCAGCCCCAGGTTGGTGCAGGACGAGGGCACTGAGAGAGGAAAGGGATTTAAATTCAGCTTTAAGAGTGCCTCTTGATTATGAGGGATCAGCTGATCCCATCTGAAGATTACCTAGGCTTTTACATAATTCTTCCCTTTTTTGTCAGTCCATCTGGTCAAAATCCTCTCATGACAAAGGAAAAAGGGCCCTTCAGTCAGATCAGCCCCCGCGCACTGAGCTGTGCCACGGGCGGACGGGTGAGCGCTGCACAGCACGTGGCCTTGCACAAGGGCTTCCGTGCCCCGGGGAGAGCACAGGCCTGGCAGGCAGCTGGGCCGCCCGCGTACACCGGGGCTCGGGAGCGCGGCAGCCACGGCGCATCTGGTGGTCACACAGCTGCAGTTCCTCCAGAGCATAGTCTTCCTGACCCTTACCGGCCCTCGTCTTTATACTTGAACAGTGTCTTCATTCTTACCCAGACCCCTTCACTGCCTGCCGGGAGGCTCAGACCTGCATTCAGTGCTCCGTGATCACTACCTTCTCCTCCTGGGCCTACAAAAGTGCTCAGTGCAAGGCCTGGCACTGCTAGCTTTTTTTTTTTTTTTTTTTAATCCTCACCTGAGGACATTCTTCGATATTTTGTTCGGATAGAGTGGGAGGGAGAGAGAGAGAAAGAAACATCGATGTGAAAGGGACACATCGAGTGGTCGCCCACACAACCCAACCAGGGCCGGGGACAAACTGCAACCGAGGTACGTGCCCTTAGCGGGAACCGAACCCGGGTCTCTCCAGACCGCAGGCCAACGCTCTAACCGCTGAGCCAAACCGGCCCAGGCGCACTGCTAGCTTTTGACAAATCTTTTCATCGTTCCCTTCCAGGCACAATAGTGGCTTTTAATCGCATTCTTTATTTTGTGTTAATTATGAAGTCTAATATGCATTTAATTATCTAAGCCACCTCAAATACTTTTTATAAGGAGGAGTACAATGAAAGAAAAAATATACCTGACTGAAATGCACACATATGTGCACTAAGAAACACACATAAGAATGTTCAGAGCATGATTCCTGTTGGCCCCAAATGAGAAACAACTCAAAAGTCCATTATAAGTAGAACAGAGCAATATATTGGAAAATATTAGTAAAGTGAAATACTACACAGCAATGAAAACACTCTTACTACATGGCAAAAATATGGGCATATCTCTCAAATATAATGGTAGACAAAGGAAGTTAAATAAAAAGTTGTTGATGTATAATCCCATTTGTATAAATTTGACAGATGGGCCAAATGGACTCTATCTACTGACATAGAGTCTGGATAGAGTCACCCTTCGGGGGGGCAGTCACTGGGAGAGGGTGTGAAGAGGGCTTTTAGAGTTCTGGCAGGGTCTCTTTCTTGATCAGGATGCTAATCACATGCATGTGTTCACCTGGTAAAAATTCATCATGTTTTATACTTTTCATTTGTGTATTTTTCTCAATATGTGTGTCCATGAAAAGCTTAATTAAAAAATAAGAGAACAAAGGTCAATAATATTCTTCACAGAAAGACCTAGAAGAAAGGAAGTAAAGCACCTGGCCAGCGTGGCTCAGTGGCTGAGCATCGACCCATGCACCAAGAGGTTGCCAGTTCAATTCCTGGTCAGGGCACATGCCCAGGTTGTGGGCCCGATCCCCAGTGGAGAGATGCAGGAGGCGGCCAATCAATGTTTCTTTCTATCTCCCTTTCCCTTCCTTTCTCTCTCAAATCAATATAGAAAAATTATTTTTTTAAAAAAAGAGGTCCATGGCATGAGACTCCTCTCCTCTTTTCTCTCTAGGATTGTCAACAGTTTATTTCCTTTTAAAATTCAAGATGGGGAGAGAACGAGCATCCTGCTTCCACGTCACATCCAGGCCACAGTGAAAGAGTCGGGCTTCCTGGCAGAGCTTGCTTTTCAGTTGTACTCCACTATGACCAGCTACTCGGAATGGTCTGCTGGAGCTGGGAGGTCTGTGCCACCTAAAGTTTGCTCTTACTCAGCTGAATGGGTGATAATGTCCTTTTGGCCAGAGAGAACTGACTGATCAGCTAGTCCTGCCTTGGTACTACTGAAGCCCCAAGACAAGTATAACCCAACAGGTTTTTTCTCTTTACTAATAAATCAGAAGTTGGACTATGAACATGTCAAACTAGAAAGTTAAAAATTGATGGTGACAACTGAAAGAATAAGAATTAGTGCAGAAATTAATGAAATAGAGAGTAGATACACAATAGAAAAAATCAACAAAACCACAGGGCAGGAACCGGGTGGAGGGGGGCAATGGGGGAATAAAAGGGGACATTGTAATACTTTCAACAATAAAAATAAAAAAGAAAAAGAAAAAAAAATTAAAAAACACAAAACATTTGTTATGAAAGAAAATATTAATAAATTTGACTCTATTAAAAGCAAACCTCCCTCAAAAACAAAAATTGGTTCTTTAAAAAGATCAACAAAACTTGACAAAGTTTTAAGCTAGACTGACCCCAAAAGAGAAGATTCAAATTACTAAAATGAGAAGTGAAAGAGAGGACATGACTATACTAACCTTGTAGAAATTTTTAAAAATTATAAGGGAATATGATGAACAATTGTATGCCAGCAAATTAGATAACTTAGATGAAATGAGCAAATTTCTAGAAAGACAAAAACTACTAGAACTGACTCAAGAAGAAATAGAAAGTCTTAATAGACCTATAACAAGTAAAGAGATTGAAACAAAAACCTTCCCACAAACAAAAGCCCAGGGCCAGCTAGCTTTACTGGTGAGTTCTACCAAACATTTAAAAAAGAATTAACACCAATTCTCCATAAACTCTTTCAAAAAGTAGAAGAAAAAGAAATACTCCCCAAGTTATTCTATGAGGTCAGTATTACTCTAATACCAAACTAGACAAAGACATCACAAGAAAACTACAGAGCAATGTATTTTATAAATACTGATGTAAAAATCCTCAACAAAATACTGGCAAATCAAGCCTGGCAATAAATAGAAAGAAGTATACACCATGACGAGTGGGGTTTACACAAGAATGCAAGGTTGGCTTAATATCTGAAAATCAATTAATGTAATATATCACATCAAAAGAATAAAAGACAAAACACACGCAATGATCTCAATAGATGCAGAAAAAGCATTTGATCAACTTGAACACCCTTTCAAGATAAAAATAATAATACTCAGACCAGTAATAGAAGGGACCTTCCTTAACCTGACAAAGGGCATCTATGAAGACCCACAGCTAATATCATACTTAATGGTGAAAGACTGGATGCTTTCCTCCTCCTAAGATCAGAAACAATACAAGGATGTCACCCTTGTCACTTCTATTCAACAGTGTACTGAGGTCCTTGCCAGGGCAATTAGAGAAGAAAATTAAATAAAAGGCATCCAGGTTAGAAAGAAAGAAGTAAAACTAATCTCTATTTGCAGATGACATAATCTTACATATAAAAATTTTCTAAGGAATCTAAGACTATTAAAACTAATAAACATTCATCAAGATTGTGGTATACAAAATCAATAGAATTTCTTTCAATGAAAAATCCAAAAATGAAATTAAAAAAATAATTCCATGCACTATTGCATCAAAAATAACATACACTCAAACACAAAAAAACAAAAACTTTAGAAATAAGTTTAACAAAAGAAGTACAAACTCTATACCCTGAAAACTACAAATTGTTGAAAGCAATTAAAGAAAACCTAAATAAATGGAAAGACATCCATGTCCATGGAGCAGAAGACTTAATATTGTTAAGATGGTAATACTTTTCAAACTGATCTACAGATTCAATGCAATTCCTATCAAAATTCCAGTTTGCCTTTTTCTTTGCAGAAAGGAACAAACTGATCCTAAAACTCAAAGGGTATGGAGTAGGGAGGACAGCTAAGGTGTTCTGGGTTGATTTTGGGAGTAATGAAAACGTTGGAAAGTTGACTGTGGTCATGTAAGCACAACTGTGTGACTATATGAAAAGCCACTGAACTGTACACATTAACTAAGTGAATTGTATAGTATGTAAATTACATCTCAATACAACGGTTTAAAAACCCCAACCGTGCGTATCTGTGTGAAATGAAAGTTGAGACTCAGTAACCAGGATGAAAATGCTCCCTTTCACCAGTAACTGCATTTCCCAGATCTGCACGTTGCCTCCGAACTTCTCCTCATACAGATGTGGAGGCTGACGTCAGAGCAGTGAGAGTCTTAGTGGTTCAGGAAACAGAGCAGTGGCCAGCACCGTGGACTCTTCTGCCTTGCAGGGGTGAGGTAACACTGGACACAGAGCCCCCTCCACATGTCCAACATGATCTGGGGAGGGAGCGAGAACTGACTTTCCCATGCACCTGGAACCTTACATACCTGTCTAGTAAGAAGCATCTAAAGCAGAAAACACCTAGCGTCTGTGGTTAAGATCTACATATAACTTAAAAAATGAACCCAAATCTGCTTCTAAGTAGTTCATAAAGAGGGGTCAGCATGTAAAAGTGAGTTTGGGAATTGTTAGAATAGATATTCTGCGAATCCAGGTAAGGACTAAGGGGTAAACACAGGCTGGGAATTAGGCAAACTCATAGCTCAGCAAGGCCATGAAAAAGGAGGGTGAAAACAAAATTCAAATGAGCATGAGGAACATGTTAGGAATAAGCTCAACTTGTCTGAATCCGTACAAGAAACGCAAGCTGGCCCGGCTCAGTGGTTAGAGCGTTGGCCCATGGACCAGGGAGTCGTGGGTTCGATTCCAGCCAAGGGTACATACCTTGGTTGCGATTTGTCCCCAGCCCTGGTCAGGGTTGTGTGGGAGGCAGCCACTCAATGTGTCCCTTTCACATCAATGTTTCTCTCTTTCCCTCCCTCCCTCTGCTCCCTTTCACTCTATCTAAAAAGATAGATGAAAAAAATATGCCCTGGCCAGTTTGGCTCAGCAGTTAGAGCGTCGGCCTGCAGACCAGAGAGTCCTCGGATTTGGTTCCCACTAAGGGCATGTACCTCGGTTGCAGTTTGTCCCTGGCCCTGGTTGGGGTCGTGTGGGTGGCAACCACTTGGTGTGTCTTTCTCACATCAATGTTTCTCTCTCTCTCTCTCTCTTCCCCCCCTCTCTCCCTCTGCTCTGTCTGAAGATAAATGCAAAAATGTCCTCAGGTGAGGATGAAAAAAAAAGAAAAAAAAAAAGAAAAAATATCCTCGGGTGAGGATTAAAAAAAAACAAACGCCAGCCCTTTCCCATTTAAAATGTCCCCATCAGTGCACAGATATTTCCTGAAAGTGTACAAAGTAATGAGGTATCTCTCTTAAGTTAGTAAATGAGACTTGTTCAGCTGGTTTACTTTCAGGAAAAAAAAACAAAAACCTGCCCTTGAACTTCTACACATCTTTGAATTTTCCTTCCCACCCCCGACCTAGGAATGAGGACATGAGCGCACATACTTCTCTCCTGAGTAGACGCGGGCTTTCCGAGTGAGGCTGTAGGTTTTGGCGTTCGCTCCTTTCCGGAGAGGGTCGTCCAGAGGTGACTGGCATGGCGGGTCCTCCAGAGGGTTCCAGTAGCTCTGCTCACACATGCCCCGCAACAGGATCTCCGCCAGCTGCCTCGCTATGGTCTGGAACAAAGGAGCAAAGGCACAGCCGTGATTCTGCTTGGTGCCATTCATTCATTTATTCACTCATCTAATCAATGTTTCTCAGTCATCACTCTGTGTTATGCACTCCCACCAGACCTCCAAGATTCATAATTAAACTTTTTGGATGAAATGATGTCAGTTGAAGACAAAAAAGAAGACATGATACACTAAGATATTTGAATAATTTTAAAACACAAGTTCATGCCCTGGCCGGTTGGGCTCAGCAGTTAGAGCGTCAGCCCGTGGACCAGAGAGTCCCGGGTTTGGTTCCCGTTAAGGGCACGTACCTTGGTTGTAGTTTGTCCCTGGCCCCGGTTGTGTGGGTGGCAACCACTGGATGCGTCTCTCTTACATCAATGTCTCTCTCTCTCTTCCTCCCTCTCTCCCTCCCGCTCTATCTGAAGATAAATGTAAAACTGTCCTCAGGTGAGGATAAAAAACAAAAACAAGTTCATGCCCTTCAAATGCCACCTGCCTCAGTTGCACTCTGGAACACGGACATGTTTTACACCTGAAACAACTGAAACTTTTAGTTAAGCTCTTTTTTAAAAGCCCTTATAAATAACAGGTGAGCTGCAAATATTTTCATCACCTCCCAAATGATGCCCGCTGAAGCCCAAACCTGGCAAAAAGCCAGGTGATGCTGTCCCTCAAAAAAAATCTCACTGATGACAAGATGATGTCCAGCGCAGAGTTTTAGAATGCTTTCCTTCTTACAGTGCCGAGGGCTGGTCCTACATGGTGCTACCCCGGGACTCCGCTCCTGAGAGCCCTGTTCTCGGGGACCCTGGACCTTGTGAATAGAGAAGGCAAAGTGGGGACTGTGGCCACTGACCAAGAAAGACCTTTGTCAACGCTGGCTAGGCATCTCTTTTCTCACTGTGAAAACCCCAGAACATCTGGGCCACGTCCTGCTACATCAGATGCATGTCACGACACTTCTCCAAATAGTTCCACTGCCCGAGCAGCACTAGGCATGATGTGTGGGGCAGGGGGCGTGGCATCTACTGAGAAGTATTTTGTTGGCTGTTGCGTGTTTATCAGTTCATTTCCAGCGACAGAAAGAGGAAAGGTAGAACAAGACCAGAAGAAAGAGAAAGAATCCCTCGGAAAACAGAAGCGCTGCGCCCAGGTGGTGCAGGCCAGCCCGTGAGCAGCCGGAGGGACAAAGCAAACGTCAGCCAGCAGGTTTTCCACGGGGCTTAGCACAGAACGCTGATCTTCCCCGAGAAGGAGCCTCTTAAATAAATATATTCCAGAAGAGAGCTTTGCTAGGCTTTCATCCATGTTAAATCTCTTAAAACACCACAAGGAAACTTAAATGCAACCAAATCACCAGCTTAGTGGTTTCCGATAATCACTGTGTAAAGGCAAATTTTCTTGATTATTCTCAAGTAAGACTCATTGGCTTTAACTGTCTATAAAAATGTGAAATTAAATCACTCCTATCATCCCCAACTGAACCATCTGTAAAGATTCATAAGAACACAATCTCCAGGACCTAAGCAATTCCTGAACTGTTTTCTTATACCTTCCGTTCCAGTTTCATGTGGATCTCACTGCAGTCGTATAAGCTAATCACTTCTGCTGAAGCCTCAACTGGCTAAATTGCCTCCACTCACGATAGCAAAGGAAAAAATGCACAAGGACCTTCATTTTCTGGATATGGAAGGATTCTAAAATTATAAACACGTCTGCCCTACACAGTTTGCTTGTCCACTGCTGGCCAGCGCAGGCTATCTCTCCTTTCCCTCGCGGTATTAACCGTCCAGGGAGACTGTTAAGGTGAGGTTTCCACGCGAGTGCACATTATAAAGGCATCAGCTCATCGGCGCCCTACTGATTAGAAAGGATGTGTGCTGGCATTCAATGAAAGCTCAACGAAGTTCAGAAAGAAAGATTAAATATGAGACATTATCAACAAGATCACCAGTATCTAGCATATCTTTTATTTATTTATTTATTTATTTATTTTAATCCTCACCTGAGGATATTTTTTCCATTAATTTTTAGAGAGAGTGGAAGGGAGGGAGGGAGGGAGAGAGAGAGAGAAACATCAATGTGTGAGAAACACATCAATTGGTTGCCTCCTGCATGCACCCCGACCAGGGCTGGGGATCGAATCTGCAACCCAGGTATGTGCCTCTGACTGGGAATCGGGAATCGATCCCACAACCCTTTGAAGTGAGGGCAGATGCTCTAACCACTGAACCACACCGACAAGGGCCATGCCTTTTATCTTTTATACTAAGGTTTCATTTAGCTTGCAGTTTAAATGCTTAAGAACTGCTGGTAACTATCGAATGAATTCAGAATTAAAAGAAGGAAAGGAAGGCGAGATGGGGAGGAGGGTGTCTAGGGGGGAGAAGGGAAAAACACCTGTAACAAAAATCAATTAATAAAAATTGGGGGGGGAGGAAAGGGGGCTCAAAAGAAGACTTGAACTCTTACACACAAACTTGGTCATGAAATGTACTTTTTTGTACGTATTTTAAATTACAGTAAAATTCACAAAACATAAAGTTCAGCATTTTAACCGTTTCAAGTGCATACTCCAATGGCATTCAGTACATGCACAATGTCATGCAATCATCACTGCTCTGTAGTTCCACATCATTCTCGCTGTCCCCAACATAAACCCCAAGCCCCTTTAAATAGTGACTCCCCATTCCTCGTCCTTCCAGACCCTGAGAACAACTAATCTGCTATCTGTCTCTATAAATTTGTCTATTTGGGGGGGTATTTTCCTATAAATGGAATCATATAATGTGTAGTCTTTTATGTCTGGCTCCTTTCACTTAGCACAATGTCCTCGAGGTTCATCCAAGCTGTGGCCTGTGTCGATACTTCATTCCTTTTCTTGGCTGAGTAATATTCTATTGTGCAGCTGCACCACATTTGCTTATCTAGTCATCAGCTGACAGACATCTGGCTGTTGTGAACAGTGCTGCTATGACCATTGAGCAAGAGTATGCGTTTGAAAATCTGCTTTCAACTCCTTGGAGTATTTATCTAGGAGTAGGGTTGCTGTAAAGGTACTTTTAAACCCTTCTCTGCTATGGTCTCACACCAGATTGAGTTTGACAAAGTACTCCTTTTAATAAGAAAAAAGCATTCATTTCCTTAATGAATCAATCAATAAATGTTTTAGAGAGTCAACAATATGAACAAATGCTCCATATTTAAGCAATTTTGAAAGATGGGCTTTGAAAAAAAATCTTGAAAAAAAAGATTTTCAATGTGCTTTTAAAACAATTATAAAAACATGTGCCAATATAATCAGTTACTTATGTTGTGCTTCCAAAGCTTAGAAACAGCTGTCCATATTGACCATTTGAGAAGTTTTACGGAATGCTGGGAGTAGGTCAGTGAGAAAAAGGCAACAGTTTTTATCCACATTTTGCAGTGGCTTTAAAACCACTGCAAAATGTGGATAAAATTTTTGATTTGTTTCTATAAATCAAAATGTTTTCTTTGAACGCCTTAAGGCACCTATAAATCACATCAACATGCAAACAAATACTGAGGACCAAGTGAGTTGTTGGTGGGAGGGTGTGTGGAGTCCGTCCTCTCTCACCCCCCATCATGCTGGGAAAGCCTATCTGGCCCCATGAGTTGTATGTCTGCACCTAAAACTCTGGAGACACCGAAATGAAGACACAGCCTCGTTTCCTGCGACGGGAATCCGTCAGCCTTGCCCAGCGGCATACTCTCACAGCACTGACAGGGTCATGACAGTGCCGGACAGCAGCATGGATGTCAGCAGACGAAGAAACTGCAGTCTCACATGGGGGCCCCGTCGGCGGTGACAGGCAGCATCTGCTGGCCGGCGAGCAGCGGGCTGCACCCAGACACGCACTCAATGGCTCCGGCTCTGCAGGGCCAGCTATGAAGGTGTAATTAAGGGCTGTCCCCAGAAAGGAAAGTGAAAGGATTCAAAAGGAAGAGTCAAAAGGAGAGCCAAGCTGCTCATCAACCGGTTTATTTGACGTCTAAGGTTTATAGTTAATAGAATTAGTCAGACAACCAGGTACTGCTCAGGATCTAATCTGCTTTGCTCTGTCTGGGTCCTATATGAATCGTTAGCAAACACGCGATCCCTTCGCTGCCCTGGCGACCGGGGGCTTACCCCTACCTGCCGTATGGGGTGCATTTCTGGTGTTTCATGAGAGAGCACTACCGATAAGCAACTAGAAAGATGCCCGATGTCCCTGGCCGTCAGGGAAACGTGAACCAAAGCCACAATGAGACAGCACTTCACTCCCACTAGCATGGCTACAGCTAAAAAGACAGGCAATAACAAATGTTGAGGATGTGGGAAACTTGGAACCCTCACTTCTGGCGAGAATGTAAAACGGTGTGACTGCTTTGGAAAACAGTCGGCAACTCCTCCAAATGTTAAAAATAGAGTTACCATAAGACCCAGCAATTCCACTCCCATGTATATACCCGAGAGAAGTGAACACATATGTCCGCATAAGACCTTGCATGAGAATGTTCGCAGCAGCATTATTCATAACAGCCCAAAAGTGAAACAACCCACATGTCCATCAACTAATGAATGGATAAATAAAATGTCTTACGCTCATACAACGGAACATTATTCGGTAATAAAAAGGAAAGAAGTACTGACACAGGCTACAACATGGATGAACCTTAAAAACATTATCCGTCCTAGCCGGTTTGGCTCAGCAGTTAGAGTGTCAGACTGCGGTTCAGAGAGACCAGGGTTCGGTTCCCACTAAGGGCACGTACCTCGGTTGCAGTTTGTCCCTGGCTCTGGATGGGTCATGTGGGTGGCAACCAATCTATGTGTCCCTTTCAGGTCGATGTTTCTCTCTCTCTCTCCCTCCCACTCTATCTGAACAAAAAATGGAAAAATGTCCTCAGGTGAGAATAAAAAAACCAAAAACATTATCCAAAGGCCCTGGACAGTGTGGCTTAGTTGGTTGGGCATTGTCCTATATACCCAACGGCTGCCGGTTCGATTCCCAGTCAAGGCACAGGCCTGGGTTGCAGGCTCAACAATCCCTGGTAGGGGGTATGCAGGAGGCAACCGATTGACGTTTCACTCTCACATTGATGTTTCTCCCTTTCTCTCTCTAAAAAATAATAAAAATATTTTTTAAAAAACACATTATTCTAAGTAAAAGAAGCCAGTCACAAAAAGACCACATATTACATAATTCCATTTATATGAAATGTTAAAAATAGGCAAATCTATAGAAACAGAAAGTAAATCGGTGATTTCCAGAGGCTGGGGGAAGGGGAGAACGGAGGTTCACAACTAATGGGTATGGAGTTTCTTTTTGGGGTGATGAAAATGTTCTGAAATTAAATATTACTGATGGCTGAATAATCCTGTGGGTATACTAAAATCCACTGACTGTAAACAATGAACTGACGGTACATAAACTATATCTAATAACATTTATAAATGTTAAGAGAGAAAACACTTAAAGGGCCCTTGGGCCTCAGTCAAGTCATTAACCACACTTACCATTCGCAGGTTTTGAGTCGTTCTCGTTTCGATTGCTCTGAGGAGCTCTCTAAATCTCCCGACTCCTCTTGTCAGGTTCCTATGTGCACACAGAATTTGACAGGGTTTCCATCTGGTGTGTATTAACATCAAGTATTTTACACACATATTTCAATGCATTTTGTCTACATGAAAGCTGTTGGATGGATTTTAAGCAAACAATTATTCTGAGCATGTCTGTCCATCTTTGTTCAAATCTGAAAAATCTGACCCAGTATTGATGGATTTATGTGCTTCCACGACTAAATTTTCTTAAGAAAATAAAAGTTGGAAAATCAATTTTGAGGCTCCAGCCCCCCAAAAGCAAGTATCTTGCAAGAGTCTATCCCCAGCCTTACAATGGCTCTGTAGTTTTCCTGCTCTGTTGAGTGGCGCTGAAATCTGTCTTTTCATCTAAAAGGTGGGTGGCAAACGGGGAACAGAGATACCCACAGGGAACCCCACAGGGAACATCTTCCTGTAACTTGCCATTTTCATGGGCAAGACAGAGAGTACAGGTGTGAAAAATGAGGGCCTCCATCAAACAGCCACTCTGCATCTTTGAGAACATAAATCACTGCCCAATAAATCCATCCAACACGCCCCCCCAGCCTTGCAGAGAAGCGAAGGGTCAAAGGCCCCTTCTGCGAGCGACTGGAGGAACATGGAACCTGAGCTGCCCGACAGCTCAGAACACAGCGAATCTCTTGCCTCACTCACAGAGACGTTTGGTGACACAGCTCATTAAGGGACAAATGATTCTTTAGCAACATCCTGGTCAATATATCCAGGCTCCACTTGTCCTCGCTGAAAGCTGTGCCCGGCCCGTTCAGCTGGCAGCGCCTCCCGGCCGGTCCCTTTACATTGAGCGCTGCTAGCACCTATGACATAACTCAGGGATATTTATAACCTGCTCATTAGAACACAGCTCATCTTTCCAAGACGCCGCAGAGCCGGTCAGCCGGTGCAAACCCGCCAGCCAGTCCTGCGGCTGTGGCAGATGCTCTAGGCATTTGGCTCTCTTCTTGGATGACATTTTAAATTGCACAAAGGTATTAAATCAAACTGAGTGTGGATTCTGTATGTTACAAACACTCACAAGGGCTATTAATTCGCCTCTTAGACCTATGTGACATCCCCAAACTCTCATTCACAAGAATAACCCCAGAACTTCGATAATAGTTTGCTGGCACAGGTACATAAACATTCCCATATTCCTCTCACCCACACGAATCAGGTGATATCATATCAGAAGTTTTATGGGGGCATAAAAAGAGAAGCTTGTGCTCAGGACTCTAAGCAGCGCTAAAGGAAATCTAAGAGACACGGATCAAAACGAGGTAACAGGCCCTGGGACATGCAATCTACTGTGCTTTCCCCTTCATTTGTTTTTATGAGATCCGTGTTCACAGAAACAAAGTACATTTGCTTTGGATTGAAGCTCAGTTCTCGTCAGTAACATGGGGCTACAGCCAGAAAGAAGATGGACGGGCGGGACGCAGTAGTCTCATTTTGTTCCAGAATCACAGGTCAGTGCCCACGACGTACAGTATACAAAAGGAATGGCACCTTGAGCTGTGTGAAACGGGGGTGGGATTGAGACCATGTAAGTGGAAACCCGGATTTCAAAGGCTGCTTGTCAGGGTGGACATTAAGCCCTGAATGGGCAGTATCAGATCTAAAGGCTGTAACTCAGGGGAGGCTACCTGACAGGAACTGGTCATTCAGAATGTCCCTGGGCCTCCTTGCAGCATGGGTGACCTATCCAGGCACAGAAGCACAGCCTATTCTAGCTGTAAAGGATCTAATACTGTCTAGTCGTTACCACACAGAAGCAACATGACTTGCTCAGGCTCACAGACCTAGCAGGAGAGCGAGCCGGGAGCTCTGTCACCTTCCTGGGCAAAAGAAATGTAAGTTCTCAAACAAGTGCCATCCGGAAGAAAAACAACATATGGATGCAGGAGCTCAGGTCTACGTTTTGTATCACTGATATGCAAGTTCCTATAGATATAACAAATGTCACGCATCCCAGTGATCACAGCTAATGAGATACTCGTAAGAACTGGTTCACAACTGGAAAAAAATCCGTTGGCCCAGGTGAAGCAGTCCAGTGACCCAGGGTAATGCCTCCAAGGCCTTAAAAGAGAAATGACTGATACATTCACCTTCCCCTGAGGCACGAGGTGGTTCTCCGTGCAGGACTGACGCCCCCTGGTGGAGAACTGGAGGAAGTCTCCTGGACTAAAGGGATGTCACACACAAGGCAATACCAGCTGCAACCGAGGACGTATTTCCAGAGCACCGACATTACCTTGGAAGCAGATACAAGTTTTTCTCAAACTGTCTCTAGTTTATTTCTAGAGGGAGCTTAGGATTCAAAATCAAATTCTTCCACAAACTGGGAGGCATTCTGCTTGTAAACAAAGGATCCATAGTCACCAAGAATGTCCCAGCAGGCCCGGGGCTGTGCCACTCAAATGAACCGTGGCACCATCAGGACAACCACGAGGCTGGTTGTCCAACCACAGATCAACCTGACAGCAGTAGAAGGAGGAACTGAAGGAGAAAGATTGCCCATTTTAAATATCAGAAAACCAAAAAGTACCCCAAATGCAAAAACACATAATTCTCATGGACGCCTACACCATTCAAACATTTTTCAGTCACATCATTTTATTCACCCAGTCCCTTTCACTGTTGACAGCAGAAAGAAAAAATCTTTAATCTAGATGAATAATCATTATAGAAAATAACTAAAAGGGAAATTAACTTGCAAGAATTACATTCTAAATGCTATGAAATAACCCAATTTGAGGGAAAAGCCACAAGATTGCTTGAGTGTCTCTGAACTATTAGTTTATCCTTAAAATGTTAAGATCCATTAGCCATCTGGAAGGAGCTGTGGCTTAAAACCCCACTCCAAAATGAAGAGAGGCAAGGAGCTCTCCTGGTTCTGAGGATTTCCACAGCCCCTTGGCATGAGGTCACTCACTCCATTTCAACGCCCTCCACAGAGCGCAGTGATGTCAGAATTCATTATGGCAAACTAGTCTCAAAGTGAATGCTCTTGCCAACATCCGAGCAGCGGGCACTTTGGCAGGCTGTCAGAACTCGGGGTTCACCTCCTGCACCTCACTTTGCCCAGCTTCCGAGCTGCATGCAGCTCTGCCCAGGTCAAACGGTTCCCAAACAGCTCAGCTGTGACCAAGGAGAGAGGGTCGGCGAGTCCCTTGAGCACCAGCCGGCTGTTCAGCCTGACAAACAGGCAAAACCCTGCTTTCACTTTCCAACGTCACTGCCTGTCCCCAGCCCGGCAGGGAGTGCTCCGGCCAGGGTCCCACAGCCTGGCTCTCGTTCAAACCCAGGCTACCCACTGCTCTGTCTCTAGCAGGAAAGCCCCCTCACTTTTCACGGGGGCACGTCCAGTTCTCCCTTGACCTACTTCCATTTTTTTCTTCTCTCCTCCCTTTTCTATCTGGTTTCATCCTCCTTCTGAATCTCCTCCTTCCAGGGCTTGTCTGCTGGCTGGTGGGTCAGTGCCACAGCATGACCTCCTGAGGGCACCAGGGGGGCGCTGAGGGGAGAGCACGTGGCTTACCTCCCGACCCCGGGAGCCCTGCAGCAGCACTGGGAAGGCTGGGCTCTGAAATGTACGTTCTCATGTACAACCTGCAGCCACGCCTGGCTCGTTCTATGACTCAACCACATCTTCAGCTTTTTTTTTTTTAATCCTCACCCAAGGACATTTTTCCATTTTTTGTTCAGATAGGGTGGGAGAGAGTGAATGAAAGAGAGAGAGAGAGAGAGAGAGAGAGAGAGAGAGAAATATCGACGTGAAAGGGACACATCGAGTGGCTGCCTCCCGCATGACCCAACCAGGAAGGATCAGGGACAAACTGCAACCGAGGTACGTGCCCTTAGTAGGAACCCAACCTGGGTCCGCAGGCCGACGCTCTAACTGATGAGCCAAACCGGCCAGGACCATCCTCAGCTCTTTGATACTGTCACCTGGGCCTCTGTGCCACAAACTGAGGGGAAACACATACAGGAAGAAAGCCAGAGCTCCAAAAGCCAAATAAAAATGGAAAACTCGGAGACTGAGAGGCACGTCCCTCGTGATGGCTACTTCGACAGCAAGCTCGAGAGACTGCTTCACTCTTTCTCCTCTCATTTCTCGGGAGTGAGAAGGGAAAATGCAAGTCTTCCCCTTAACTTATCCTTCCAAATCATCTTCTGACCTCAGAGTTTGGCCAATACACTTACATTCAGTATCAACTGTCATGGTTATACAAACTCAAAGTTCAGATGTGAATAAAATCTTCTTTGTACTGCATGTCACATCCTTGGGTAATAAGGAAAAGATACCTATTGGAGCATGTTTAACATTGGTTTTCCGTCTCCGTGGCTGAGAACTTTATAACTAAAGGTCAATCACAGAACATGTCAACACAATAGTTCTCGTAGAGCTAAGAAATCGTTTGGCTTTTTCCATGTTCTTTCTTACCAACGATCACTTCTGGAACTCCTGAGTGGTGGTTGTTTCAACATCTTCTGAGCATCGTAGCAGCACCAAGTCCCAGGACTGTCCCTGAGACACACTGTGAACAAAGGCGCCATTCCTGCCTCAGGGAGCTCCGATGGCTCCGCCTCCCCCACAAGTGTCAGGGCCTTGAGGACTAAGGTCTGTTTTGCTCACAGACGTGTCCCAAGTCCCTCAGAGCCTGGCTACAGAAAGTGCTCAGTAAATATTCAGGGGAGGAATGAAACCCAGAATGACTAGGAGTCAGATGAAGCAAGACCACAAAGGGATAGATCGTCCACCTGTCTCTTGTGCCCTTCCTTCCCCTGCACGTGACTGGCGGCGGCACAGCACAGCCCTCTCTTAACAGAGCACTTCTCGTGTGCCACAGCAGCCTTGCAGCGTGGGTGTGCCCGGGGGAGGGTGGCACGCCTGTACCAAACGACACTGCTGGGCACGCCTGGCCTGACAGCTTCTAGGCAGCAATGTGAATAGTGAGGATTCAGAGAGTTTTATTTTTTAAATTTATTTTTAAAAAT